CGTACAATGGAGGTCAAAGATCAGAATTTAAAAACGCGTTAAAAAACTATACAAAGGACCTGTAAGGGCATATGGAGAATGAAAATGAAATCATGAGAACAGTGTTTTTCAAAAATATATATTACACAAAAGATTATGAGAGCATGGGTTTGGTCGCAGTCTCCTCTAGCTGTATTGAGTTGATATGACTTCAATTCCAACTCAGTGACGAGTTGGAATTCGATGCTAAGAATGGCGCCTCTTATTGTACATGTCCCTATGAGGCTGGATAAAACTTCCAAGAATTTACCAAGTGATTTGCATGACTACTGTGACAGAAGACGAAGGACTGCACACTATCTATAAGATCCTCCAGTTACCCTACCAGGTTGCAAAAGAGGTCCTATAACTCAAAGGATATTTCGATTGACGATAACATGTAAGCAGATAATAAAAGCATAAGAAAATATACATGCATATAGTACCCTGTTTGCAAAAAGACGGAAGTTGGCAAGATTGTTGAGAAGAGGTAAGGCCTCAGGAACATCGTTCAACTCTACCAAAGGTCCACTTGACTCATTTGCCTTATTCATAGTAAAAGGATAGTTAGGAGATAATCGAGTTTGAATGCACCGAGGTAGGGTGGCACGAAACAGATCGGTTGAATGGGTTCTAGCCGTCATTGTCGTAAGGTTGCGTATCAAGCCCTTAGGCAAAACAGTAGGTAGATAGTGATGCAGGATAAGACAGAATACGCGACCATCAACGAAGGATTCGTCAACACTAGTAATCTGATCATTGTAAGTAAAAAAAATTAATAAATCAGATCTATGTAATTTTTTTAATCATTCCCAGTACCATGAAAGATGCGAGTAAAATTATTCTAGACGCATGAGAATTGTACAATTTGAACCTGAACATAAATTATTGGAATGGGCAGAATATTTTAAACTTCAGTTAATCATATTTGACGAATAATGATGAATAGAGACCATAGACTTAGAAAAGAATGATAGAATAAATCAGGCATACCTGAATGCCATGGAGAGAGGCGATTGCGGCGGCCCAGTTAAATAGCAAGTCCTGCACACAGGCTGAATGTTCAGCCAAATTCAGATCAGGTCGCGGGGACTGGAGTATCTTCAAATTAGCACGTTCAACACAGGCCTGAGGGAAAGAAGACAGTGGTAGCCAGTACAGCGGCCTAGACAGATGGCCGATTGATGAAATCGATGTGGACACTTGAGCAGATGTCTTTGGAACTTTATCGAGAGGATAAATGAGGTGAAGGAGTCGAGAAAGGCCATGGAGACGACATACCTCAAGGCTAAGGGAGTGGATATTAACGATAGCGGCAATATGAAAGCGCAGTAATAAGCACCAAAGCAGAGCTAATGTCTTCTCGCGGTGGCCATCAACTATGTCACGAGAAGAGATACTGGTTCCTGAGAGGTGATAAAACGGATCAAAATCAGAACAATGGCAAAATGTTGAAATTAGACGAGGCGTGAGAGGCGAAACACATCAAGGAGAAAAAAAGAGGCATAGGTAATGCAGAAAATAAGATGAGGTATATAAAACATAGGTGCTTAAGTAGGACAATGGGCGTACAATGTGTCAATGAAAATAAATTCAGATTATTAAATACGCAAATATAATCAGTAGGGTCCAAAAATCAGCCTACCATCATGAACTGAGTTCATTTTATCATTCATAAAATACTGATTACAATGTTTATTCAAATGATAATTTTAGGCATTTTTGACAAACATGTAATGAATGTTGACTAATCTAAGTCAACAAAAGTTTGTTTAGAGGTTGTTTGACCTTGTTTTCGCAACATGGTCATATTGGTAGGAAGACTTAGAGGAACGCAC